TGAGTAGAAAATGAAGGCTAATCATGTTTTGGGTGTACTATTCCTTTAACGGAGGGATAGTTGACCTCTGGCTTAAATCTCTCTGAAACATCATTTTTTATTTACAAATGACCCTTTTGAATGCTGAAACCTGCGCTAATGAAGACACAATGATTCAGTCCATTTGCTGTGTTTTTATTATGTTAGTGGGGTTTCAGCTTCACGCAGCTGAAGCTCCTCCCACTTGATGATGCGGTCCAGGTGTGAGCTCTCCACCTGAACTACCTGCAGGAGGAAATCACTGCGGACACTGCGCTCGGTCTGATCGCAAAATAGGATTAATAGATGGGAAGAATTCAGGGATATCAGCACAGAAGTGAAGCTTAGATTGTGACGGTTTGATGTTTTAGATATTTCTGTTCAGTTTTTACTTTCCTTTCAGATTTACGTTATTCTTTGCTGTTGATATTTAGAATAATATCTTATTTTAACTCTTAGTTTAATCCAGCAGACTCAGGTGGAGGCATCAACAATCACCTGGATCAAAGACTACCTGACAGGTTGTTAGACTGAAGGCTCAGCAGTACAGGAGCACCACAGGGGACGATACTCTATCCATTCCTTTTTAAGAATTATTCTCATTATTTCATCAATCTGATAGATTATGAGAGATTAATTCATCAATCTGTTAAATTAGGAGGGATTAATGAATCTATTCAGCAATCCTTCATGTCTTTATGGAGTCCAGTGGATGGTTGGTAGGTGAACGAACGGTTTTAGGAGAAATGCATCTTGTTTTGATCTTATTTTTATTAATTTTGTATTTATTTTTTTATGCAAGAGCTCGTCTGGAAAAGAGCAAAAGTCTCTTTGTTTGCTTTGACTGTAGAAATGAATGCGGTTTCATCAGCTTTCATCCGGTATCAATGGAAACGTTCATGATGTGATAAAAGCGCTTTACAGAGAAAACGCTGCTGGGATGCAAACTCATCATTTAGGAACAGACTGGTTTTTAATGGCAGGCTGTTCTATTTCAGCAGGGCGAATCTATAGAAATAATCCAGCTCTGGAATGTCCTTCATGACATTCCTTTGATTGCTGGAAATGAGGAAAAACTTCAAGCTATGTTGATCTGATGAGATTATGGTGCAGAAAGCGGCGTCTCACCATCACAGGTGGTTCATTTGAGTCTTTCCAACATTCAGTTTGGCTCGCTAAAGTTTTCCCATCATTATAAACATATTGGTGAGAAGATTCTAGCAGATTCTGCTGGAGGAGCTTTATGTTCTCCCATAAATGAAATGAAGTCAGGTTCGACTTTTCTACAAAGCTGGTTGAGTCTGATGTTTTCTGCTGCAGGAGTCTGAGGCTGTGGAGACATTTCTGGTTTCTGGAGGTGTTTTCCAGCTCATCATTAATATTCTGCTATAGAAGGGGAAGCAGGATGGCAGCCATGTTTAATAAAATATGCGAATGTGATGGAGGAAGGGCTTTATTGGGATGGATCAGATGTTCAGCTCTGCTGCAGATTCTGACACGCATAGAAAAATGCTTAGAAATCTTTAGAAATGTAATAAAAATGCTGTGAAAGGTTCGCTGGAAGCCACAGCATACACCCCAAAAACAATGTAGAAATACGTACAAAAAGTCTTAAATTAAGTGTATTTAGCCTTAAATTTAGCAGGTAAATAAGATGAATGAGTGTTTTTACTCTTAAAATACGATGATGAGATAACAAGCACTTCAAATTAAAACAATGTAATTGTTTTTTCCTATTTTAAATGTAAATTGTTTCGTTTCCTTAGTAAAATGTCTCACTTATCTCCTCAATTCAAGAAAAAAAAATTAGATTTGAATTTTTTGCAGTGTAGAAAAAATGCTCAGAATGATTATGATACAGAACAGAACACTGGAAAAAACTCAAAATCTAGATTAGTCATTTTTTCTTAAAATGACTAATCTAGATCTATCTAAAATAAGTTAAATTTGTTCTCGGATTGAGGAGGTAAAAACGACATTTTGCCACATGAACAAGAACATTTATACTTAAAATAAGAAAACACAATTGCTTTGTCTTTTTTAAAGTGCATATTATCTAATTATCTTATTTTAAGAGGAAAAATATTCATTCCATTGTCAAATTATTTCATTTACCTACTCAAATTAATGATAAATACAATTAATTTAAGAAATGTTTCCTTATTTCTAGATGTTTTTTCCAGTGAAGGATCTGTTTGCTCAGGGAGGAACCAGCAGCCGCTGTGGAAGTGGGTCCATTTAAAGCCACACAGGAACTTTAGGTTTGAGGTAATTTTCTTTTTGAATTAATTCATTAAAAAAACTGCTGCTGAGATAAATAAATAAAGTGAATTTAATTGAATTGAATCCTGCAGATTGAGTTTGAATGGGATGTTTTTGTGTTAAAGGCCCACAGGATGAACTTCATTTCCCATGGATTTTATTAGGACAGTATTTCTCACGTGGCTGTTGTATTTTATTATTTGATGGTGTGTCATAAGCGCAGCAGGGCCGGGCACTAAATAATCAATTAATCAATCAGCTGGGTTTGCTCACCAGCGGCTGCGTCCAGAGGCCCGAACAGAAACATGGAGGACGGGAATGCTGCGTTAGCAGAGACAAAGCTGACATTCCTGAGTAATTAGAACATCTGTCCCATTTCTCCGGTCCACCTGAGACCCCCCAACAGCCAGGGGGGGACCGGCTCCCATCTGTGAATGCTAAGGCAGCGCCGCGGCCCTGAATGCAGGTCGGCCCTAACACTCTGCAGGCATCATTGTTCAAACTCTGACGTTTAAATTGGGATCCCACTTTAAAGGAGCAGGAGATGACGAGACCTTCAAGGAGCCGAGGAACTTCTCTGGTTTCCATAGCAACCAGTAAACCGAACATCAAAAACACCTGCATTAGATCAATGCTGGTAGCCGAATATTATCAGCTCCTTCATGGAGCTGAAATTACAAAAACTATGGAGGTAAATTAAGAGATTTTAACTGAATCCAAACTGATCCTGTTAGAAAACAATGAAAGAAAAAACTCTTTGATCTGGGATTTAAATGACAGGTCCTGATCAAAAACAACAACAAGATTTTTTAATTTATTATCTAAAATCAGTTTAATCCCATCCAAATGAAATGGCTTATTTTATAATTTATTCATATTTGCAAAAGTATTTATATGATATTTTAAAACTACCCAAATGTCTGTTCATGTTCTATTATAAATGTCTTTTATTTGGTTTGATTTTCCGGCTTTATTTGTTGATTGTAACGCATCTGCAGCTACTGAGCACTTTCTATTATTGTGCTAGCAATTAGCTAACAATAACAACTGACCCTGATACCATGGAAACGGGGTCACGACCTCTTGCATGGCACACATGCATGCGGAGCAGAAGTGAAATGAAACACCAACGGTGGGATTTTAGGTTCCCATGAAGATGACTGCCTGCTTTATTTTGGTGCCATCAACTGTGTCCAGATGTGTTATTAGTGGGATTAACAGGCAGCGGCGTAACGAAGGCGAGGAATAACTTCCCTATTAGCGTAATGCATCTTAAATTACACAAATGGAGAGTTAATTGACCTATTTAGGTTGGAGGCTTAAAGCTAAAAATCTGCTGTTACTCATTTTCTTCTACTCTCCTCATTTATTTCAGCATCTGCTCTAAAACCTTTTGCAAAGATTAAATCCTGGATGTGACTGAAGAGAAAACAGAGGAAAGAATTCAAATGTCTTTGAGGAGCAGTTTTTTTTTCAGACTTTCACATGAAAAACAGAAAAGAATGAAAAAGACCAAGCTTTGACTTTTCCCTCCATGTTTGCTGATAATAAAAGTCCTGTTTTCATTGTTCTAATGTAATAATATATTCTTTCATTCATGTTTTTATTGACAGAGACGATGTCTATTATCAGTTCAAGCTGAACTCTCCTCTCTGTCGCTCTATTGGAGCTGATTCCAGTTCCTCCCAGAAGGCCAGATGTGGAGTCCGGCTGCTTCTGGATGCTGATTGGATGGAAGCTGTAAAGCTGCTGAAGCCTCTCAGATAAACACAACTTAACGTTTTCATTCTTTCATCGTTTCTACACTGAAAAACTCTTTTATTAAAGTCAGGATTGGAGGTTTGTTTCTGCTTCTCTCTGACCTTTCAGAGCCGTTTCTTAGGCTCCATCTAGTGGCTGAAAGTTCAGCTCTTCATTTAGGAGACGACTCCCTCAGTCTGAGCTCATCTGGAGCAGATATGGCCTCACAGTGGAAGCTGGAAGAAGGATAGAAATGGAACTTTATTGATCTCACACTGGTTAAATTCCCTCTCTGCATTTAACCCATCCCCTTGGGGAGCCGTGGGCTGCCATTGTGCGCCACATAGGGAGCAGTGTGGGGTCTTGCTCAGGGACCCAGATGGCAGTCTGTGGGCATCAAACCAGGTACTTGCAACCTTCTCAGAGCACAGAGTGCTGCTCTAACCACTTTAGCGGACAGTGGTCCGGATCCGGACC